TTTAAATTATTTTTTATTTATTATCAATAAAATCTTTTTTTATTTCATGCACGACCATATCACGGAAGTTTTGTGATTGGATAGTAGATTATTTGAAATAAAATTTGAAAATAAATGCTACAACAATTTTTTATGTGATATATATAAAATAAAAAAATTATTGAAAAATATATTAATAATATAATTAAATAAATTTTTGTAATATATCATTTATGTTAAAAATAGTAAAACCCTCAACCAGGTTCCTGTACCATCCGCAATTATATAAGCAAGCAATACCTTATCAATTGTGACATATCTCCTTTATTACTTCAAAACTAGTATTGTAACCCGTGCACGGATTTATGTTTAATAGAATAATAATAATAGTAAATGAATTATTTATATTAATTACATGAAAATGTGGTTAAAATTTTAAAAGAGTGCTATTTTAGTATCTAATTTATATTGTATTTATGTAACTTATCTAAAACCTTAAACTATATTAAAAAATATGAGCAACGATCATAAAAATACCTAAAAAATACTAAAAATACACCAAGTATAACATTTTTGTTTGGATAGTGTATTATTTGAAATATTATTTGAAATAATTACTGTAGCACTTTTTGTGATGTGATGTATGTGAGATAAAAAGGTGATTGGGAATATAAAAAGGTAGGTTGGGAAATGTGTTTATGATGTAAGCGAAATATTATTTGAGATAATTTGGGTATCCAAACATTCTCATTGTTACTCCTTATTTCCACGTTCTCTCCTCTTGTGCTATTTCCCCTCAACATTCTCCTACTCCTCGTTGCTCTCTTTCTTGTCTGCCTAACTCAACTTTCCATATCTCTCAAATTTTCTTCCTCTCACAAACTCTATCTTCAAACCAACGATTTTTTAGACTATTGGCCACCACTAAAAATTTTAAATTTTGATGGGGGTAGGAGGTAAAGAGTTCGAACATTGTCTCTTATTAATGTACCACTATATGTGGCTTTTTTAAAATCTATAAAGGTGCGTAATGTGCTTGTCTGATCTGATGATAGTCTATCAATGTGCCACTGTTGTGACTTTTTTTAAATCCATAATCGTCTGGACTGATAATAGTTCAGTATCTGTTGATTTCTCTAAATCCCGTTGAGCCTCTCCCCCGTATTGTAGATTAGAGTAGGAGTAGAAGTAGAAGTAGGCTACGTTTCTACTACTTTTTCCATCCATTTATAATTATAAAAAGTGACCAATTTTTCAACTCATTCTTCAACAAATGAGTACAGGTATGCAATTTTATTAGTTTCAAATGGGTAACTCAATTGAACCCATTAATTATTAGCTTTTAAATGGATAGATTGGGACAACTTATTTAGTGCTAATTAAATTAGATGTAAAATCAAATTCATTAATAAGTAAATTTAAATCACTACCAATAAAATAATTGTATTCTAATTTTGCAAAGGTATATTTAACTCTACTTTTTGCAAAGGTATATTTAACTCTACTTTTTGCAAAGGTATATTTAACTTTCTTTTCCTATAATTTAATTTTTATTTTTAAATTTTTATTAAATTTTATCCTACTCCCTTCTTTCCTTCTTAATTTATTTCTTGCATTCACACTTAAATTATTTTGAGATTTTTGTAGAGTGCAAAATTTGAAACTCACCACTATTGGTTCTTCTATGTAATTTTTTATTTTTAGGTGAAAATTTATTAATTATTATAATATGTTTTTATTTTTGTTCATTACAATGATATCTTATTTTGTTGCTCAAATAATATGGGAGAAAAAATAAAAAAAATTGTAGTGGATTGTAAATGTGTAACATAACCAAAATCATGTAAAACTATATACATTTAACTCACATAAATCACCCATTTTGATCCTTTCATCTCAACCCACATCTACAATTCTGTTAACTTTAACCTCCCCAACCCTATACTCTTATCTTTATACTCATTCTACCATTTATGATTTGTTACCTCACTTTTGCTCTTCCCAACCTTGTACTCCTATTCTTCTACTCCTTTTATTATTTAGGATTTGTTACTTAACTTTTCAAATGTTTTTTTTCCAAATAAAAATTTATAATTATAATCATCAAGAAAAAGTAATTGGGGTATAACTTTGGTGAAATACTACTTTTTTTTGTGACAACTAGCCAAGATAATCGTTTAAAACAAATATTTATTTTAAAATTTTCGATAAACACTCCAATAAACAACCATCTAAATGCCCATTTTATTAATTTAAAATTCATATAAAAATTTTGTTTATGTGGACTTTTTGATATACATGTTATAGGAAAAATTATTCAGATGGAGTTTTGCGCATGTTAAAAATTATCTAAATGACATTGTATGCCAAAGTGTTTATTTCATTGGTTGGAATAAACGTCTAATAGGATAAGTTTAAGGCTAAAAAAATTGATTTAGTTGCAATAAGTTAATTGTATATGTCATCTGAATGTTTGACAAATTTATATGTATACCTGAAAGGAGAGTGCTAAAAATATTATTATATAAATGATTAAAAAATGGGACTAATCATATTATTCCTCTGATTTGACAAATCAATCTTTATTAATCAAGGAGTAAAACAGGCTAAAGTGATAAAGTTGTAATGGGTTGAATAATTTTACTATAGGACTAATCAAATTATCCAAATTTATTTTCTTTAATTATGGAAGGAAAAAGGGATTAAAGTCTAAAAATAAACAATAAACAATTTATTGAGGCCTCATTTGAAGTGGAAATTTTTTAAATTTTAAATTTGAATTGTCATAAGATTAGTTGTAAATCACTATTTCAAACTTTTTAATTGAATTTATGCATTAAAATAAATAAAAATCTAGAAAAAAAGTATGGGAGATTTGGAAGCCATTCAGAAGGCATCAACTAAAACCTCCATTGTAATACATATATATATAGATTTTGACGAATAGGTTGCTTTGCTACCCAATATTGCTTGCGAGTTGAGGTGAGAAAAAAAAGAGAAAGAGACTTTAAAGCTACAAGGGGTAGAGGAGAAAAGATGCAATTTATTTTGGGAGCTTAGGAAAGAAGTGCAGGGGAATTTTTTACAACAACAGTAAGGTTTTTTTTTTTTTTTTTTCTAATCAAATAGTTTATTTTTACCCTGAAGAAAAGCATGTAACTGATCTTAATTTATCCTTCCTACCTTCCTTTTTATTTCCAATTTTTCCTCAAGCATCCCAACCAATTGGTTGGAGTTCATATAAAAAATCTAGATAAAAATGGAAGTAAATATAAACTATTTAGCAATTATGCATTTGGGAGTATATGTCCATTGGGAGGAAAGTGAAAAGGATACAGAAGGTAAAGGTTTTTTGTCATGCGCCCACGGAAATACCACCAATGAAAGGAATCGAAAGGAAAGTGAGCAGGGGAAAATAATGAAAAAGTATCCGACCTGCCGGATTCGAACCAGCGACCTAAGGATGACAGTCAACACTACAGTCCTCCGCTCTGCCAACTGAGCTAAGGTCGGCTTGACACTATTTAGCAATTATGCATTTGGGAGTATATGTCCATTGGGAGGAAAGTGAAAAGGATACAGAAGGTAAAGGTTTTTTGTCATGCGCCCACGGAAATACCACCAATGAAAGGAATCGAAAGGAAAGTGAGCAGGGGAAAATAATGAAAAAGTATCCGACCTGCCGGATTCGAACCAGCGACCTAAGGATGACAGTCAACACTACAGTCCTCCGCTCTGCCAACTGAGCTAAGGTCGGCTTGACGCTATAGTCTCTGTTACAACCTTTGATAACTTCATTTATAGTTTGGTTGAGCAATAAAAACTGATTGAAGCTATATATAATAATGAAACATTGGGATTTTAATGTCCTTGAACCGGGGGATACGCGTACAAGTTGAACCCATCTGCTGCCTAATTACAACAAGTTAATAACTCTTATGTCTATCACTTAATCATGTGAGAAGACAATCACTATGTCTAAATAAGTTTGCATGAGATAACTTACTTAAAAAAACAAAAGGTTTGCATGAGACAACTACGGTGTAATTTAACATGCGGAATTTATATACTATCATAGTGATAGTGTGTTTTGATAGGAAACTATTTGAAATAATACTATAGCATTTTTTTGCGGCTCGCTGTATGTGAAATAAAAATTAATAAAAAATATTTAAAAAAGATGTTTGAAAATATATTTAGAATAAATCTTATATGCACTGATGGTGTATATACTATCACGGTTGAATGCATGATATATATATATAAAATTTGGATTTCAAATTTAAATTCAGATTATGTGTCATACATTCCATTCAGTGGTGAAAGTATGTACACTGTTAGTATATAGAAGATTAATTTATATATTTATGATGTAAGTAAAAAAAAAAATATTTGCCAAGGAATAATATGTTCACGATAATACGTTATTGGACATTAAGTTCATACGGAAGCCTTTTAGCATAATCCATCATTATTTTCGACACATTATTAATAGTTGGAAATGCAGTTTTGATCCTCAATGTTTGGTATTTATGCAATTTTGGTCCCTCAAATTTTAGCAAAAACAAATCTAATCCCTAATGGTTGGTATTTGATGCAATTTTAGTCTTTAAATTTTCCACGAAAACAATTTTGATCCCTAGTGTTACCCAATTTGAAGCAGATTTAAGACAATTGACAGAATTTTTTTTTTCAAATATTTATGGAATTAGTCACATGCAATCACTTGTTTGTTGAATTAAACATTTTAAAAAGAAATAAAATGCAAAGTAATCTTAAAACAATATGAATAACTTACATAATGGTATGTCGGTAACTAATTAACCAAAATTTTGAAAACAAAACTGCACACGTGTCAAATATGGATGACCACAATTAATTTTGCCTAAACCTTAAGCATTAAAACTAGATTGGTGCTGACCATGGAGCACTCATTTTTCTCTTCTCGATGTGTATGGTTTGAAAACACAAAAGGGGCACACTGGGCGGTCGGCAGGCCACCACAGGAAGGAGTTTTTTTATCAGCGTTCTGGAAAGCCCTCCCTTTTTTATTTTTTTTTTGGGTGTTTTTTGTTCGCTTTCTTTCTCCAATAACCTTATTGGAGAGAGCCTCATCATCTTTTGGAGCCGGACACCAAGCGCCCTCCCAAAAACTTCTTCTCTGCTCCGGAGCTCCACCGCTCCAACCCCCCCTCTTCCCCCAGAGAAAACACTCGCCCTCCAAAACAAACTCCCTTCCTCTATCCTGCAAATCATTCCCTACTCAATAGTCGCTAATAGAGTTCAGGTTTGCACGCAATCTTAACTGTTTTTACTCATTTCGGTTCCTCAATAAATCCCTTCTTCTCTTTCGTTTGTTCAATAGTATGTATATATTTGCTTAGTTTCTATGGAATTTATGCCTTTGTGCTTATTTTTTATCATTACTGGGTGCAAAACCCTAGGTTTAGGAGTTTGACTGATACAGTTATGGTCCTATTGCTGTTTCTGTGTCAGCAGGATGCCAAAAAAAAAAAAAGGAGCAAGAGGAAAGAAAAACACAATACAATACGATATGAATGTTATATTGAAAGACTCCCCCCTCCCCACCCTTTATCCACTTGAAAATGCCATTTTTGGATTTCAAATTAGAATTTTTCTTGAGCTAATGTAGATTACCTACCTCCTTTTGTTGCCGGAGTATCCAATTGCCTTTGTCATAGTGGGTATTCAATAAGGCTTTACTGAAGAGTAGTTTCTTATGTTGTCTTGCAGTTGTGTTGTGCTTGAAAAGGTTTTAATGGACAGTAATTTCTTGTGCTGTCTTGCAGTTTTTTTTTTTTTTTAAATCTTGCACCGCATTGTAAATGCTTAAGTTGACGATTGTTTTTGGCCTTGGTAGCAGGAGAATAAATGGCTATCGTACCTTGTGGAAGTACATGGATGGCTCGGTGTGGAGTTCAGCCTCAAATAGTTGCTCGATTCACTGTTACAAACAAACTATCTTTGCCTCCAGATTGGTGAGCCATTTTTCTGTGTTTTGTGCAATGTGCTAGCAATCTAAGTTGGAGGGGCTAGTCCATTTTTCTTTTAAGTGCACCTATAACTCCAGTAAACTACGCCACACTTGAATTCCTGGAACTATATAATGCGCTTTCAATCAATCTTCTGATCATATATTTACTTTCTTTTTGTACGAATATCAAGATATAATTCTTTTAGCCACAATCTTGAAACATATAATGGTTGTTCCTTGTTTTTTAATTGTACAACTTTACAACTTTAATAGGAAGATATAAAACTCTATATCATTGCTAATCTGATTCTACGATAATGATTTGTCTGAATTCCTGACAACAGAACTGTTTATCATCTGAAAAATTAGCTTAATCATCTAATGTTTATGCTGGGATCTATGTGAGGTTTTGGATCTTGAAAAGATGAAAAGACTGTGACCTGACTTGGTGGAACTCTGCATAACAAGCCTTGGTCCGTGTCTACCTCTCGAACCCCTGATTGATTAACAAAAGAAAACCATCTTCCAACATGTTTAGAGTCTCACTCACTTACACAGTGCTTAAAATAAGATAGGATAATAGCTGAAAAACATGGCTGCCTCTGGGAAATTTTCAGAGGGAGTGTTAATATCATACATGTTTCGACCTCATGCAAACCCTATTCTTTGCTAGCACAAAATCTGGTTAAGTTCACTCCACTTTTTGAATTATCCTCATCTTGCGGAGAATATACATTGTCAGGTCAGTGTACAGTGTACAAAGAGCTAGAATGGACATGTGGGTCAGATGAATATCAGGGCTCATACATTGGTTACAGGAATACTAGTACCCAAGTGGATTGTGACAGTTGTAGTTTGTTCACTTAGAAGATTGGTAAGAAGGATCTGTCGTAGGGGTACTGACTACCAATTCTTGGTCACCAAGTAACAGAATGTTACTCAACCAAAAAGTATCTTTGAAAGTGCCATAATTGAACAGATGTTCACACCACCAATGTACTTTTTTGTAAAGTCTGCATATGAGTCCTTTTAACTGGCTAGAGCAAACTTTGCACTTATATTATATTGCTGGTGACTTGTGGGATGCCAATTACAGTATGACATTGGCTGTCTTCTCACCAAACAGATATTGCACATGCAGATCTTATACATACTTTTTATGTTTTCAATTCTGTGCTGCAGTGTTGCAAGCCGGAGTAAAGTATTGGCATCACCAAGTTCAACCTTTTTTTCTCAACGTCCATTGCATGTACTTTTCAACTCAGGGTTGTGCAAGGATTCACGTCAGAAAAGGGGAGCTCGATTTGCAGTTAGAGCTCAACAAGTAAGACAATTAAATTGATTGCCTTGTCCTAATTGATTCACCTGTAACAAATTTTAAGTTTCTTGATTTCAGTATCTTATTTTGGGTGGCATGTGATGAACATACCATTATCTCTTGTGGGCAGGATTATTATTCTGTCCTCGGTGTGTCAAAAAATGCCAGCAAATCAGAAATCAAAAGTGGTTAGTATAACCTGACTCTTCTCACCATATCATGCTGCTTTTAAATGTTCTAGTAGTTGGCATTTTTTATGTCACTTGAACTGAGCACCTTACTTTGTTAGCTTTTGCCTGAACTTTCTGGGTTTAGGAACTTATATCATTGCATGTCTGGTAAACCTTACTATTACATAATTCGGAGTGCAGCAATTACATTTCTATTTTCTGTATCGAGAGTAGAGGAAAATGGTTATGGTATCTGTTTAACGTACTTAAGAGCTTCTAATTACACATTTGGACACCATTGCAAAAAGTATTCTGAAGATTTAGTCTTTGGGAGAATGTTTGTAGCTTAATTCTGGGATAGTTTCTTTCCAATACCCTGCAGATAATTGACAACTGTTTTTCTATTATTTGAAAGTTCAGATATTATGTAGTCTTGACTGTTGTCATTGTCTCCTTGAATTTCATTTTTTTATCTTCAGCTACTTGTTAATTACCTGATGAATTTTGCTGTGGGAAAAATGTTGGACATTTTATAAAAGCTTTTCCACAATTTTATACTTGTATTATCTTTTGTTTTCTCTTCCTTCTGTTTGTATTGGTGTATCTGTTCTTTGCCTGAAGCATAAACATACTTTATATCATCATTCTGCATGAAAGTGCACCTTCAGTCTGATCTTTTTTGAGTTGTTATGATGTTGATTGTTAATACTTTCATGTTCAGCATATAGGAAGCTTGCCAGAAGTTACCATCCGGATGTGAACAAGTAAGTTTCACCTTCAAACTTCAATAATTTGCTTGAGGTCCTTTTGTTAATATGCATCCCTAGTCTTCTGTATTAATCAATGCTTTTTGTTTGACGATCTGTTTGGTCTTTCCATGGTACAAATTGATTACCGTATGATAAACCTTGAACTGGAAGAAGTTAATAGGTGAACATGTATAATGAGAGGGGTCATTTGAAACATATAAGTAGACGATGTAATTCAATTGAATGTGCTTGCACTATATCTTATCAAGGAACTGTCTGCTTCTCCAATCTTGGCTGCTCTAGTTTTATGTCCTTAAATCATAACTAGGAGTTACTTTGTTAAGGAATAGCTGGGCTGTATCTCATAGTTACAGCTGAAAATGTTTCTGCTCATGAAAGCTGGACCTTCCTCGCATATTTCTTGAATTTTATTCAAGTTTCTCAAGCATATAGTCCAGATTGCTTTCTCATGGGACACACCACCTTCTTGACCAATTTCTTGGGAAGTGTTTTAAGTTTGCATGGGAAATAAGAGTTGTCAATGTTGGTTTGACTAATTTCTAAAGCTACTTTCTAGTTCTGAACGTTCTATTCATGGTCATGAATTATGACTCACCGTTTTTTGCTCAACCATATGCTATATTCTAAATCTTATTGGTAATGAGCCTTTTTGGAAGCCATCTTTGGTATAAGATGCACTAGGACCTGAAACATTTGAATCTTCTAGTGGGCATCCAACTCAACAATATAATATTTTTTCTCCATATCAGACCTACCTTAAACTAGCCATATTTTACTCATTCTTAGAGGGATTTGATCCGATAAATATATGTGTGTCAATGAGCAAGTGGGAGCAGCTGTTGACAACATCTAGTGCAAGGCATTTGCATCACAGGTCCTACTTCAGAAAGAATGGTCTTGCAATGATGTCCAATAAGATGGTGTGGTTAGTTGCTCACGCAAACTCAATGAAAAAGTGACCACATGTTATATTCTCTCTCCATCTGACCTACCGCAGATGAGCCATATGTTAGTTGTTCTTAAAGGGATATGATCTGACAAATTTTTATTTGTGTCGATGAATAAGTGGTGAGCAGCTATTGACAGCATATAATGCAAGGCCTTTACGTCAAAAGTCCTAGATTTAGAAGGAAGGGACTGACAGTGATGTCCAATAAGAAGTTCTGATAGTTGCTTACACCGACTTGGTGACCAAGTGACCATGCTAAAATTTTTCTTCTTTAATTGTTAGTTCTTTTTTCCCTTATTCTGATTCTCTTTAGTCTTCTGGAGGGGAGTGTTATTGAAACTTGAAATCGATTAGTATGTAACACTGATTTGAGGATACATAGCCACATATGAAAGACTGAGGCAGTACTTAGTTCCAGCTATTTGCTACAGTGCATTTCTCATATCAGGGTTGAGGGTTTGATTTCTTTCCATTTGGTCTATCAAAATAATCTATCAGAAAGCTTGAAGCTGGCTGTCGTATTAGGTAGATGATTCCACACAATTGAAGCTAAATACGTAATTCTATTGTGCCCTTTCTTTTTCTTATATTCCTTTTCGTAGCATTGCCATTTTCTGCTTTGCCACGTGTAAGATGGTTACCATTAGCTAGACAAACCTACAGTTTCTAATTTTCAGATAAACTTTGTAAGTACATCTCTCCTTTAAGTCAGAGTTAGAATATTTGGTGTTCTAGCAAAATGGTTTCAACTGTGAGTTACAGCCAAACCTTTAGATCACATTGGCAAGTTATAGATATAGTTTCACTGGGTGGAGAACTTCTTCATGCTTTGAACCCAGTTTGATATGAAATATAGCTCAATGTTCTTTAAGGTTGCCTAAACTTTGTTTTGCTATAGTTTTTCTTTTTTTTTTCTTTTTAAGAAAATGAATTTACTTTGGTAGCCTCAATGTCGTTGAAATGGGTATTTGATAGCACGTGACCCAGAGTCGTTAAATTGGTTCTGTTCTTATAACTTTTTCTTTATGCCACCAAATTTTCGAGCCTTGAACTCTGTTCCATATAAGTTGTGCACTTATTTAAGGATGTATATTATACGTTTTTTTAAATGTTCAATGAAGCCTAATTACTTGCTTGCAGAGAACCTGGAGCAGAACAGAAATTCAAAGAGATCAGCAATGCTTATGAGGTATGTCATGATCATCGTAACTGTTAAGGTTGAGTTGATAGCCCATCAATAATGTAGTCAAGGAAAATTTGTTTGCAATTGCCAAGTTGAAAAGTAACCTCTTTGCGACAGGTTTTGTCAGATGATGAGAAACGTTCCATTTACGACAGGTATGGGGAGGCAGGGCTTAAAGGTTCTATGGGCATGGGGGTGAGTTTCTTTTACTCTGAGGAAACAGTAACCATCCTCTTTCTTTGAGAGGCTCCTGTGTATTGACTACTCATATCTTGACATCTTTTTGGTTCACTATGGTAGGATTTCAGCAACCCCTTTGATCTATTTGAGTCCTTGTTTGATGGCCTCGGTGGTATGGGTATGGGTGCCAGAGGCTCTAGGAACCGGGCCACTGAAGGCGAAGACCAGGTGTACAATCTAGTTTTAGATTTCAAAGAAGCCATCTTTGGGGTTGAAAAGGAGATTGAAATAATGCGGCTTGAGAACTGTGGCACCTGCGATGGGTCAGGTGCAAAACCAGGGACCAGAACTGCTAAATGTAGTGCATGCGGGGGCCAAGGACAGGTTGTCTCATCTGCAAGGACCCCGCTTGGTGTGTTCCAGCAAATAATGCCATGCTCTGCTTGTGGTGGTGCTGGAGAGACCTCCACGCCATGCAACACATGTGGCGGTGATGGTCGTGTGAGGAAGTCGAAGCGGATTAGCTTGAAAGTCCCTGCTGGGGTTGATTCTGGGAGCCGGTTACGGGTTCGATCAGAAGGTAACGCTGGAAGGAGAGGGGGACCCCCTGGGGATCTTTTTGTTATTATAGAAGTTCGTCCAGATCCTGTACTGAAGCGCGATGATACAAATATTCTCTACACTTGCAAGGTGACCTACATTGATGCTATTCTGGGGACGACTCTCAAGGTCCCTACTGTAGATGGAATGGTTGATCTTAAGGTTCCATCTGGAACTCAGCCAGGGACAACCTTGGTAATGGCGAAAAAGGGTGTGCCTTTCTTAAACAAAAGCAACATGAGGGGTGATCAGCTTGTCAGGGTGCAAGTTGAGATTCCGAAGCGGCTGAGCGGAGAAGAGAGGAAGCTAATTGAAGAACTTGCCAATCTAAACAAGGCCAAAGCCCCCAACAGTAGAAGATAGTGGAGGAAGAATGGTTTTGTCCGCTGGCCAAAAGGGCCAGCACGTTTCATCCCTCAGTTCTACGATTGAGTTGTGATGTTTAGGCATTTTTTGACATGGTTTCTTCTATCTCAGCCAACAGGCAACCGCTTTTAGTCCTAGGGAAAAATTTTTGGCGATTAAAATTTTGTATTGTGTATTATACTAACGATTAAGGAAAGGGAAAAAAAAGTTAGAGAGAGGGATTTTCTGTTTCTTTTTACCCCTTTATAATGTAAGTGGACTAATTATTTACATGCAGTGTAATTTTGTGCAGTAATTTACTACAACGTTACTCGTTCAATTTTTAAACATATTAAAATTTTGAGCAGGCTTTGTTTGTACAAGTAAAGGAAGGCGTTCATTTCTCTCTCTGTGTCTGGTAATAGAGATGGGATATTTGGTAATTTCAAAACTAAAACCTTTACACCAAAAGGAAAAAAAAAAAACAGGGTAAAAAAAGGAAGAGAGGAGAAAGATGAGAACATTTCTAGGGAAAGAAGTAACAGGTTAAGACTCAATTTGCCATCCAGGCCCAAGCAAAGAGAAGGTAATTCTATGTGAATCTAATGCATTGTTGGGATGTGCATGCTAAAGCGGAGGTGGTATTCAATTCCATTGACCAGACAATTGAAATTTACGTGTCGACGTATTATGTTAATTCAAGATAATGCAAAATTACTTGGTTTTGGTCTGATGGCTACTGGGAGGAGTTTAAATTTCTTCCTAGAGTGTTGTTCAACATCATCTCTGTCAAGGAACAGTAGCAGCAGACAGGAACATCACAGAATCAGCAGCAGGAGGCGTCCCTCTCCTCCCACCGTCCCTTTCCCGAAGACTTCTCCTCCTAATACAATAAGATTTATAAAATAAAAAAAAAAAAAAAAAAAGACAATGCAAAATCTTGGCATTCCTTTAAATCAGAGGGGATAAAGATTGCAAAACTTATGGGGTGAGAGAGGCTCGAACTCTCGACCTCAGGATAACTCAGAAGCTATGAGACCTACGCGCTAGCCAACTGCGCCACCACCCCTGTTGCTGTGTCCGGCATGTTTCAATTCCTAAAATTATTGGAGCTCTTTTGCATTTTTTTTAGCCACTGTTTAGCGCTTTTTTTTTCCCTGCCTTAACTTGTTCGATATTTGTATGTATTTGTAGATGATGGCCTCGTCCTAAAGCAAGTACATTATTAGACACTAACATCTAAGTATTTGTTTTTTAATTTTCAGGCAACACCCTATTTGATTCTTGTTTTCTGCTTCTAGCTGATCATGATGCCCAAAAGTTCCTCCGTAAATTGCTTGAGCCTCTCTATTTCTTTGTACGATATTCCCCAATGCATCTGTATCTATCAAGTATGAACCCACAAAAGTTGCCAGAATATTTCACGGAAATGCTGAATACGCAGTTTATTAGATGCAAGTTTTGACTTTTACGCGTTACCCCGTTGGCGTTGAGACGCAAATTAGTAGTAAAACATGATCAAATCATAAGTTCTTTTATGGTAACACTCTCGTTAAAGGAAACTTGTTTCTCAAATAACTTTTACACGCAAAGTATAACAGATAGTGTAATCAGATGGATCCAACAATCACACAACACTCCGTGAAGAATTTGGAAGGAGTGAGAAACTTTTAGGGGTAATTGGTCCCGTTCTCCAGAAGAGTATTTCTTATCAGTTTCTCCAAGTTCTGATAAGAAGAGCCACCAGGTTTAGTTGCTAGCCGGGCCTTCTCTTTCCATTCCAGGGCTTTCGCCCTCATGTTCCTCCCTTTTTCTCCTTCCATCATCTCTTTCACTGATTCTGCCACTTTTTCCCTGGTAGCATTGCTATCAATCTCTACCCCATTTTCCCAGGTTGAGCATGCGTATCGACAATTTGTCTGTTGTTCGGCAAAAAATGGCCAACAAATCATTGGAACTCCACAAGAAATGCTCTCAATTGTGGAATTCCAACCACAGTGAGTCAAGAAAACTCCAACAGACGGGTGTGCTAACACTCGTTCTTGGGGACACCACCCTGCCAAAATACCTCTGTCTTTGGTCTCTTCCAAAAATTCTGCCGGCAAAATTGCAGATTCACCGCTCACTAAGTCTGGCCTAATGATCCACAAGAAATTCTGTTTAGAATCAGCGAGTCCCCATGCAAACTCTTGTAACTGTTCAACCGACATAACTGTGATGCTTCCAAAGTTCACATATATTACAGACTTCATTTCCCTTTGATCAAGCCATTCAAGACATCCTACCTCTTCTTCCCACAAACTCGATGCTAACGACTCAAGTTTGCCAAAATTTACATTCTGTTCCATCATTAGGAGTGGACCTATGGTATAAACACGATCAAACTTTGTATTGATGGCTTCGAGGACTTCTTTCTCCAAATCGTCGTAGGTATTGAATATGATGGCCCTAGCCCTGGATGCGTCCCTAGTTTGTACGATGTTGTAATTTAGCATGATGTCATCTGGATCGGTTGTCCTAATGAAATTTGGAAGATCTTTCAATCGGATCCCTTTCATCCCGGGAATCCAATCAATAGTTGTATCAAGATAGCCGTTAGTAAGCCAGCTTTCATCTGTGCAAGAAACGTAAAACCTTAGCTGAAGATCTTAAAACTTGTATGCTAGAAGTTCTGTTAAGAAAAGAAATCAGAGCAATTCAGGGTTTTCAAAACGAGAATTTTTGGGGCTACAGTAAGATAAAAACACAAGTCAAATGTAAAGAAGAACATACCAGGACAGGCTTTAACTGATGAAAGGCTAGATTCTAATCAAATCATGGAGACGATTTGGATTAATCTATGGATGTACCTTTAAGTGGAACGTATCCTCTTGCAACTAGTTCAGCGTAATGAAGGTATCCCATGAAACCACAGGCACTAATAGTGAAAAACACTACTTCAGGAATATTCAGCTCTTCCGCAGCTTGCAAAGTGAAACTCATCACCCCATCAGAAACTATGCAACTAACTCTGGGAGAATCGGACGATTCATTGAGATTCTTAACGAGATTCAAGAAGGGAACTAAACAAGTGTTCTGAATAGAGTTGCATAGTGAAGGTATGTCCTGCGTTGCATTTGTATCCGAAGGCGAGAGACCATCAGGAATGGTCTTAAATTGGAAATCATCAAGTCCCTTGACTGAATCAGGACCATGAGCTCGAATAAGGCGTCGATGGTTAAATTCTGTGTTGACAAAGGTGATGTAAAACCCCTGAGAGTGAAGGATTTTAGCCAATTTTAGTATGGGGCGGATGTGACCTTGTGCTGGATATGGAATAACCAAGGCATGAGGCTTCATGGCTGCTATGTTCTGGAACAAGAAGTCTCTCTGTGCAGTGGAAGTGGAAGCGGAAGCGGAAACAATTGAGAGCCATTTTTATAATAGTGTCCTTACATAGTCGTAAAACTGCAAACGAATTTTGACCTGTCTTTTTTTTCTCTTCTTCCTAGCACTAGCAGGTTTTGATGCATATCTTGATTATGCATGTTGATCCAGCACAAGGGATACCATTGTGGCAACGTCAAATGGATGCCATCAGCCATCCTTGTATTTTTCGTAAAATTAACTGAAGGCGAATTCAGGGAGGGGGATATTTCAATCAAGCCAGGCCAAAATGTCTTACTTGTAGGACCAGATGTCTAGTTTACTTGTATTGACTGACTTTTCTTCAGAGACTTCGGAGCAAATCAGAAATAAGACGAATAGGATGTAAAGTTAACAAGGACTTTAATTTGCAGATTCTCTGTGTCACTTATTTGACATAGGAATTTGACTAGTCATCTTTGGAATTGGAACGATTTCATGATAAACACGCTAGCTGAAATGAAATCTAGAAAAGCTCCCTGAATTTGCTACTCCCTTTGGCTATTCAGGACATCTCCCTTTGTGTCTGTCTTGGTAGTAAAAACATACGTGCAATTTATGCACCCAGAGCCCGCAGAAGCAATTTACGCTATTGGCTTTAAGAACTGTAGTACTAATAAACTAAAGAGGATGCCGTGCCAGTTGCGAGAAAAAGTTATCGCCGATATCACCAACCATCCATCCAATAGAGAAAATGTATGTAATTGCCGATTTTGTATGTAGCAAAGCAACGACCATTTTGTGGAGAGAGAGAGAGAGAGAACGTAATTGTCCAATAAATAGTTTGTACTTATCTATTTTGGAGGTTATACCACCAAAACAGATAATCCAAGCTCAACGGCTGCTGCGCCAGCATCTGTTTGAATTAATAATATACAATAACTCAAAAAATATTTCATTCATACTCCCTCCCTTTTTTTTATAACTGACGTTTAAGAAATTTGCTCTTAAGTACTTTTATCTGTCAGTTTTATTATCCCCATGCAGCATTAATTATTTTTTCACAATTTTACCCTTTTATCTCTCTTTTCATAATTGGTGGGAGTTAGTTTGCATTGCTTTTGGCCTAGTAAAACAGCACCATTTAATACTCTAGTGAGAGAAAATATGGGTGAATTGGACAATTAATGAGGGTACAAAAGGAAAGTAGTGTATAAATTTAAACAATGAAAAACTTTTCTTAATTGGTATGCAAAACCTTAAACGTCAGTTATAAAAAAAGGGAGGGAGTATTATATATCAAAAATTTTTATAATAAAAATTTTTTATATACACTGCTATGATAAAATTTTTCAAAATATCTTAAGAAACAGCTAATTCAAATGGACTCTTTAATATTTAGGTGACAGACTCTTTAATAGTTAAAGGACCATTTTGGGCAAAATGTCACTCCTACGACATTAAAACGGAAGACTGACCAAAATTATTGCCTATTTTTTAGACTTCATTTCTCTGTTCTTGGAAGATGCGTCTTGTCAATTCCAAGACTCTGCCTTATCCCCAGATGAAGTCAAATGTAGCGGTACCCAACCAATCAAAGACAAAAGTTCAGCGTATGAAATTAATTACCACTGGTCATTATATTGGTTTAAGGGGACAGACAATTTGACTAAAAAGAAAATATGATTTGATTATTTTGTAGCATGGTTCAAAGTTGCGGTCGCGTTCGTGATCTGAACGCGAACCGGATCGTTTCATATCGTTTTCGGCATATTGATCGCAGTTTCGACAAGATGCAAATTTTAAAATATTTAATAGTTTAAAAATTATGAATAATATAAAAAATATGATAAATACAAATAATTAAAAAAATTAGCAAAAATAATAAAAATTCAAGTTGACTTGAGATGATTCGGAACGATTCGGCAGTTTTTATCTGTGTCAGAGACGTCTCGGTCGAGTTCTCGGTAATCCAATATCTCGGAGTTATTTTGTCCCGATATCGTATCGGAGAGCTCTGTTCCTGTGACGGCCCGGCCCAGGTCTTTGAACCATGTTCTGGAGTGCATCTTCAAACCCAAAGCTCCACCCTCCGCCTTGCATCTTCACAGCGGTGTCTTATCATTTCCACTCTTTAACAGTTACCAGTAACCCAATCGAGAAATCGGAATGGAGTCCAGCAAGCAGGAAACCTCATGTAGTTTGTATTCCACTCCCAGCCCAAGGCCACATTAATCCCATGCTAAAACTTGCCAAGTCCACATCACTTTTCGATTATACCGGATTTCACATCACTTTCGTCCACACAGAATTCAACTATAACAGATTGCTCAAGTCCAAGGATTCAGATCCACTGGACATAATACATGACGATTTTCGATTCCGGACCGTTGCTGATGGCTTGCCACCGTCCAACCAGCGAGGCATATTGGATCTTCCTGACCTGTGCGTAGCCATGCCTGTGCACTGCAAACAATCATTCAAGCAACTCATATCGGAACTGAACTCTTCCCCTGATGTTCTACCTGTTTCTTGCATAGTTTCTGATGGTGTCATGAGCTTCACTTTGGAAGTAGCTCGAGAATTCCGAATCCCCGAAATCCTGTTCTTTACGCCTAGTGCTTGCGGGATGTTAGGCTATCTTCAGTACGAAGAGCTCAGAGAAAGAGGTTACTTTCCCCTGACAGGTATCATGATGCATATTTGGGTCTTTTTTTCTGTGACTATTCTGATAATAATTTATAAGAGTATCTACATGATGCAAACAACCTCTTTTCCAGATGACAGCTGCTTTTCTAATGGATATCTTGATACTGAGCTTGATTGGATACCGGCAATGAAAGGGATTCGACTAAAAGACTTTCCCTCGTTCGTCCAATCCACGAATCCTGGAGACATAATGTTCAATTACAACCTAAAGTCACTACAAAATGCTCTGAGGACAAGCAGCTTAATTCTCAACTCATTTGAAGATTTGGAAAAAGAAGTTTTTGATGCTATAAGAATAAAGTTTCCAACTTTGTACACGATTGGACCCCTATCAATGCTTGAACAACAACTCCGCGGAGGGAATTTGGATTCCCTCGATTCCAGCTTGTGGAAACAGGACATGGGATGCATAGATTGGCTTGACAAGAAGAAACCTGGATCAGTTGTGTATGTGAACTATGGGAATTTGGTAATTTTGACTCCAGGTCAGTTGAGGGAGTTTGTTTGGGGATTAGCCAATAGTAAACATCCATTCTTGTGGGTGATTAGGCCTAATCTTGTAAATGGTGGGACACAGGTCATATATCATGATTTCTTGGATGAAATCAAGGACAGAGGACTGCTGCTTGATTGGTGCCCACAAGAGAAAATTCTCGGCCATCCTTTGTTTTTTTTTTTTTTTCACTAGCGGTGACGTCTAGCCTACTCCTACTCCTCGGCTACTCCTACTCCTAACAGGAGGGAAATTTACTTTAAGGGAAGCGACTCTAGGGAGTGAGCCAATTAAGTCGGGGGAACTGGACGGAGACTTAATCACCATCTGACCAGACGGGTGCACCACTCACCCGCATGGATTTAGAGCACTCCTCATATTGAGACACATTGATGGAAGACAAGATTTGAACCCTTACAGTGGTGGCCAACTCCTTTATTGGGAGTTGGTTTCTCAGCCATCCTTCGATTGGAGGATTCTTGACACACAGTGGGTGGAATTCAACATTGGAAAGCAATTGTGAAGGCGTGCCAATGGTTTGTTGGCCTTTTTTTGGTGAACAGCCAACAAATTGTCTTTACATTTGTACCAAATGGGAAATTGGAATGGAGATTGATAATAATGTTAAAAGAGATGAAGTAGAAGGGCTAGTAAGGGAGTTAATGGAGGGAAGCAAAGGAAAGGAAATGAAGGAAAAGATCATGGAATGGAAGGATAAAGCAGAGAGGGCTACAAAGCCTGGTGGGACATCTTACAACAACTTCAAATTGCTGGTAAATCACCTAAGAGGGGAATCTCGTGCCCAAAAGCCTTAGCTCATTTCATCACTCCAACCCAACAATGCCTAATTTCCAGATTTGAGTTAAAGGTAACTTGCAAATATTCAGTAATCAAGAAAATGCATGCATGTTGGCCTGTACCTAATTATCCAGATTTTAGATAAAGGTTACTTGCAAGTATGCAGCAACCAAGATAATGCATGCACGTTTCCTATTCCCATGGCTTGAGCTTCAACTTATCTTGTGGGATCGACTTCTGCCCTGATCAAGTAAATTAGGACTGATTCCAATGTTGCATCTTTGATGCTTAACTTCTCTCTCTCTCTCTCGATATAGTAGCTGTTTCATTTTATGTTATGGGATGTGCTTGTAGAACTCAGTTGTAATCGTCTATGATCACCAGTTGAAAACCAAAAAAAAATTGGTATATTTGCAATAACTCTTTGAAATTTAATAGATAATAAAAATGAAAAGAAGTCTATGAATATGATGATTCCGAATCCAGTAAACACATAAGGGTGCTTAATTCTCATCTTTAAAAAAAAAAATGTTAAGTGATAGTAAGATCTTTGATTTGACTGGTTGGCCTCCAATTTTTTTTATTTTCCTTTAAAAGATTTGAAATCTTTCCTTGAGAGAGAGAGATACAGAGAGCTTAAAATTTTTCTTTCCCACTTCATTTTAAAAGATCATTTTTAAAAGAAAGTTGTATGACCTCTTACCATAATTTAAGGCATGAAGGACAGGGGATGAATGTTGAATAAAAAAGAAAACTTAAAAAAATTGAACATGATACCTCGTGCTACACTGTCAATTACGCCATCTAAGTCGGGTTTTAACAAGTCCAAACTCGACTCATATAGTTAGTATCATTTGCGGATCTCGGATTATAAGTTTCAAGTTGATAAATGTGAAACTAATACTTGAATCACAAAATATTTGGGTTATGAGCCAAATTTGGGTTTAACTAAAACTCACTTATTGCTCCTTAATTTTCTTAATATACTTACTTTAGTTATTCAGTTCTCAAGCTAATTTAATATCCATAGAACTACAACATTAAAACCTTTTTGTGAAAAACACGAACAGAAAATTAATATTAATGAGAGGTAGCAATAACATTACAGCAACCGCTAACTCATGGGCAAGAAGGATCCTTGCCAACTTTATCTAATACTAGGGCTGCAAACGAACCGAATCGAGTCGAGTTTTGGTTTAATCGAACCGAGTCTTGATTTAATTTCATTGAATTCGAACTCGAATTCGAGCTCAACAAGCTGACAATTTAAAGCTTGAGCTCGAGCTCAAAAAAATAAAAAATAAAAAAAATAATAATTTTTTCTTAATAAACAATAAAATATTAAGGATATATATGTAATTTTACTATTAAAATAAAAATATAAAAAAATATATACTTAAAATAAAAAAATATGTATATATACTTTAAAAAAAATAAAAAAAAATATATATATATATGCTCGAGCCGAGCTTAATATTTTGAACTTGAGTTCGAACTCAATTTTGACTCGAGCCAGCTCGAACTCGATATTGATCCAACTCGAGTCGAGCTTGACTCGAGCCACTCACGAGCTGTTCAGTTCGTTTGCAGCCCCTGTCTAATACAACTTAGAATAGAAAGACTACCTAATACAACTTAGAATAGAAAGACAACATAGTTATAACATCATTAATGACATTCCTAACATTGGGGGTGAGCCAGATAACGTGCAAAGGTAGGATAAACAATAACATACAATCAGTTTTGACTGGTAGAGAGGTACAATAAAGGTGCGTTTGATAAAATTGAAATTTAAAATCTGAAATATGAAATTTGAATCCATTAAATTATTGAATTGTTAAATAGTAAATCTAATACATTTGAGTGTATATCACATTCAGTGATAAGTGAATAGTTTACTTAATTTTTGGAGCAAATTTTGTTTAGAAAATTCAGTGTTAGTTAATTAATTCAAATGTTCAATTTTTTATTATCAAACAGTTTAAATATATTAAGATCTAAACCTATTAAATTTAAGTGTTAAATTGGTGATCAAACAGGACTAAAGCCTCATTGCCGACACTAATGCTCTTCCAGACAAGCTAATGCTTCCGCTTGAACTGCAGATTCTGCAAATTACAAATAGCTTCTTGGAGATTTTGTGCATTACCTGACCAGGAGAATTTAAAACCACAAAATCCATACCACCACTCATCAACTGAGCATCAAAAGCCCCATCTGTGACAATAGTGATGCAATGTAGTTATTTGGATACATAATTATAAATACCAAAGTATAAATGTATTATATATATGTCTGTATGTATGTAATGTATGCATGCATATAGATATAGACTAACTGTTAGGACTTATATTGAATTTGAGTCCAATAAAATCTAAACTAAACTCATATATAAATCGGATTCAATACTTAAACCCAATTCAATGAAAGGTTCAAAGCGGTCCCAAGTCTCTTGATGGCTTTTCAGATTTTCAGTTCAAAGCTATCCCAGATGGCATCTCAACTTCAACTGATGATAATAATGCAACACAAGACATTCCATCACTATGTGATTCGACTCGAAACCATTGCTTTGGCCCTCTTCGGGAACTAATAAAGAGACTCAATGATGCACCAGAATCTTTGAATGTTCCTCCTGTAACATGTATAATTTCTGACGCAATCATGTCCTTTGCTCTTGAAGCTGCTGGGGAAATTGGGGTCCCTGGTGTTCTTTTTCGGACTGCTAATGCCTGCAGCTTGATGTGCTATAAACATGTTGAACATCTTGTGAAAAAGGGACTCGTGCCTCTTAAAGGTATTTTAATGGTTCAATTTGATTTACTCGCATAACTAGATTGTAGATTCTTTGAGATGTCTAAGATTGCTGATAAATGAGAAAATTTTAGCTGTTTCTTGGTACTTGTTTATTTAAAAAAAAAAAAAAAACAGTGGTCTTTGTGTTTTCATTAATCAACTGTTTCCTTTGACAGAGATTAAATTTGACAACAATTAATTTCAAGATTTAATCACATGTCATTATCATGAGAAAAGCAACAGATGGATATCATAAAACTTTGGATACGAGTTCTTTTCCAATTTAATAGATGTCAGTTAAAATGGGGAATCTAAAACATTATAATGCAATGTGGTTCTACTGCATGACTACTGGAAAGTCCTAAATACGGTTGGTGCTTTGCTATTGTCATAAAAAGTAAAGGTACTGTATCCAGACTTAAGAGGTACTCTTTTTAACTTTCAAAGGGTACTTCAAATGCATCAAATTTTAGTGCTATAGAGCATTTTCCCTTGAGATGCTTGGAGCAGAATAGTTGTGCGCTTAATTACATTTCTTTGAAGTGATCGCTCAGATGAATGATGCCAATACTTGTGCGACCTTTTTGTAACAACAGATGCAAGCTATCTGACAAACGGATATTTAGACACCAAAATGGATTGGCTTCCAGGAATGCCTGAGATACGTCTAAGAGACTTCCCCAGCTTTATTCGAACAACAGATCCAGACAACATAATGCTAAACTTCGCCATAACTGAATCTGCGAGAGCTTCCCAAGCATCGGCATTGATGATCAATACATTTGACTCCCTTGAGTTCGATGTTCTAAATTCTCTTTCGAGCATGTGTCCTCCCATATACGCCATTGGCCCTCTTCAGCTTTTGTTCAATCAGCTTCCACAAGATAGTCATCAATCTATTGGATCCAACTTATGGAAAGAAGACGCAGAGTGCATTCAATGGTTGAACACAAAGGAAGCAAATTCAGTGCTCTATGTAAACTTTGGCAGCATAGCTGTGCTGACGCCAGAACAACTGGTGGAGTTCGCTTGGGGACTAGCTAACAGTAACAAAAGTTTCCTGTGGATATTAAGACCCGACCTTGTTGTGGGCGATTCTGCAATTTTGCCACCTGAATTTGTTGAAGAAACTAAAGAAAGAGGTATGATTACAGGGTGGTGCGCTCAAGAGCAAGTGCTCAAACATTCCTCAACCGGAGGATTCTTGACACATAGTGGATGGAACTCAATTTTGGAAAGCTTGTGCTGTGGTGTGCCCGTGATTTGTTGGCCATTTTTTGCTGATCAACTTACCAATTGTAGGTATGCATGTCAAGAATGGGGCATCGGGATGGAGATTGATACAAATGTGAAAAGAAATGAAGTGGAAAAAATCGTGAGAGAATTGATCGAAGGAGATAAAGGAAGAGAGATGAAGAGAAAAGCTACGGACTGGAAGCTGAAGGCAGAAGAAGCAACTGGCCTTGATGGTTCATCATACTTGAATTTTAATAGACTTGTGAAGGAAGTTATACTATCAAAAGCTAAATTAGAAAAGGGCGTCATTTGAAAAGTGAGAACTGAATTATGCAGTCACAAGTTAAAGAGTTGTACGTAGGCCACAAGGATTTTGAGCTATACATTACTTGGCCTTCGAACAAAAATCTTGTCCTGAAAGATTCTTACCACATATATATCTTTATTGTCTTGCACTGGATTGTTTTCTTTATTGAAAAAACGGAATGTCGATTTATCCACACTACATTCGTGCTATGAAGCTGTTGCATTCGCTCTAAATTCGAGGTACCAACGGAGTATTTCTGGTAGTTAACTACTGTATTTATTTCGGTGTAAACAAATATAATAAACCCCAGTTTCCTCGAAACTTTGTAACAAAATTAAAGAATTTCCACCTTTGCCTCCTCATCATCGGGATGAATTATGCAGAGTTATCTCCTTCAAAAGCTTGTTAAAGTTCTGGGAAGAAGATCAATGGGGTGCGTGCCACAGCTGCTTTGGCATTGTATAATGTATAGTTCTAATGTAGTATATCCAAAGCCTTACTCCTCATCTTTTTTGTCCGCTCTCTCCATCCATGAGCTCTCTCACAAGCATCTCCACCTTATCTCTCTTCACATCTTTCTCAATATATTCATTACGCACCACATACAATTTGTCTGGTGTTCAGCGAAGAAGGGCCAGCTTAGATTACGGGCGCACCAACTACGAATGCTTTGCAAAGTTGAATTCTTTCAGGATTCCGCTGTTTGCTTTGTATCTCAACGGAGTCATCAGTTGCAACGATGTCGACGACATTTCAACAAGGGAAATTCAATCTTTAAGGCATATATAGTGAAATAACTAGAAAAAATTACTACTATAAGGGCAAGGCAAGAGCGTCGCATGCATGTGGTGGATTGCTACAACATCAATTTCTTGGGAGAGGCTCGACATTTAAATGCATCGCAGAATTGTAGCACAAAAAACTCCCAAAACTATTAGCACAAGTTGGATTCTATGTTGGGCTTAAATTTGGTATAATATCAATTAAGAAAAAAACTTCATGACAAGTTAAGACTGAAGAAATTTAGACGAACGACAGAGCGCAGGCTTTCCCAGTTGCCCGACAAAGCACGATTGTAGGGTGGGTAAGTCGATGAAACATTAACTCGAAACTCAAAAGTGACTAAACAAAGTACAAAACTAAGACAGCAAACCGGCTGCGCCAATTTCTTGAAAGTATGACCGCAAACGAGTCTAATCAAGTTTTGAACTTATCGATCCTAGCTTGACTTGTTTATGTGTAGGATTGAATTCGAACTTAAGTTTGACGAGTAAAGAAAATGGAATGGAACTCAACTCGACCAAGCAAAAGGTAGGCTCAAGCTCGAGTGGAGCAAAATTTGCATCCTCTTTTTGAAAATTTTATTATTGAAGGCGCACCCATTTCATAAAATTTTCTAACCCTTAAACCCTTTATTTTCCAGTATACACTTGGAACAAATAATTGATTAACAAGAATAAATGTAGAGTTTCCAACTTTAAAGGACCAGAAAAAAAATGACAGAAATTGTTACTTCTTGTGACTGGAGGAAGACGACCGGAGCTGTTCTTGGACTTGGAGAACTGGACCGTCGAAGGTTGGACCTATTCTTGCAAGTTACGACTTGCGTCTGCCAGAGGAAGACGACCGTTTCGATTTTACAAGTCTGGACCGTAGCACTTCCCGTTAAGTCACGAAAATGGGAACACAAGTCACATCGTGATTAGAAGGAACAGGATGTCTGCAAATCATGATTAGGAGCGTGGTGCAAAATCGAAAATTTTCAATTTATCAATCGAATTCAAATTAAAATCAAAATTTTGAAATCGACAAATCAGAAAATGGAATGAAAATCGGTTTTCCGTTTCAAAATGTACGAATTGGGATGCACACCCCCTAATAGCACTTCCCCTTTATTTTTGGGATAAAGTCTAAAGCACTTTCTTGAACAGGATTAGCATTGCAGTGTCTGGAGTTAATTTTACGAATTTAGCAATTAATCAATTTCGCAAACATTCATTAGCTTACAAATCCAGAAGTAACTTCCGATAAACCATTCTTCTATTAATTTTTTGTTCAAAGCAAGATAGATCTATCAAGGAAGAACATAAAATCGCAATGCACAAAGACTAACATATGTTAGTCTATTGTAAACCGATATCATAAAGAAGATAACGATCTTGCCAAAAATAAATAAATAAATACAAAACGAAGATAGTGAAAACATCACATCGGGATAACATGATTTGGGAGATGCGTGATGTCGATAAATACACTACTAGTAGTCTAGTATTTGATAATGGATGTTGCGCCCGGGGGATTAGGGTTGTCTTAAAGTGAACTTCACATAAGTCACATCATTCCACTTAATTACTAACACATGTTAGGCCCAAATTTCCGCCCTGCCCTGCTACAGAATCAGAAATTTGAACTTTTTTTAAATACATGCATTAGTAGGCTGTTTCGTCCTTTTTTTTTTCAAAAAAAAAAAAAGGGGTTTGTTTGGATTGCAATTTTTGAATTTTTTTTTGTAAAAATATTACTGTAGCGATTTGATATGCGTGAGATAAAAATGTGATTAAAAAAAATATGTTCACGGAAAATGTAGCAATTGTTTTTTTTGAAAAATTACTTTCCAAACAAAACCAGCTAGAGGAGAAACAAGTTTTACTTTGAATTATCGACCGTTCAGCTATAAACCAAGTTGGGAAAAGCATTTTCAAAATCTCAACGAAAATTTACTTAATCGGAGACTACAAGGAGTTTTTGTAATCAAGCGCTTTTAGCTATCATAATTAGATATTCTAGAGTCTCGTCTCTTGTTAGTGCTGCTGCTAAAACTGTTCAAAATGGCAATCCGTTTAAAAGGTTTCGTTTCTCTTAAAGTTCCAAAAATATGTCATTCAACAGCTATGGTGACTTCCAGTGTACGTGCAAGTTATTCGATTCCATGCAAATTTTCCATGCATTTACGTACGTGTGGTAGGAAAGTTTGACCCCGGCCCCCAAAAAAAAAAAAATCTGGACCAAAGGGCATTTTGTTTCAGTTTTACGGGCAGAATTTACGGTAAGACCTGAGTGCTTCAACATATATGCCCAAATCTCAACCGGGTGATGTAGTAATAACTAGGCGTCTTTTTCTTGATGGTACTATATGTCCAAGAATTCCTCTCAAAACGAGGCAAAAAAAGAAAGGTTTTTTTGGGCAAGTAGTAGCATGTAATGGACCACGAATTAATGCAAGCGAAAAATATGAAAGCGAACGCTTGCACAATGACAAAGATGAACACATGTTAAATCTAAACAAAATCCAATTTAATACATAGAAAAGATAAATAAATTTTAGGTTTAATAAAACTCCTCCCCCCTCCCCTCTTCTTTTTCCCGCGGAAAGCCGGGGTGATAACACTTTTCCCCCCTTAATGAAAATAATAGGCACTTTATCCACTGGAAAATAGAATATTTTGTTCGGTATTTGTGACAATTATTTTATTTGAAAAATGTACTGCTTAAATATGTTGACATTTCTATCCTTGTGCTGTTGACAAATAACATACTCTTATGCTATTAATAAAATAGCAACAATTTATAAAGCATATTTATTGAGTAATAGAACCCATATTTAGCATTAGAGGTTTTCTTCATGAACAACACACACATGCATGTAGGGATGTTCAAAATTGAAAATTAAATTAAGAAAAAAAAAAAAAGGTTAGCCAATCCAATCTAGGTCCGATATCGGATCCCGCTCAACTAGAAATCAATAAAACTAATTCATATCCAAACCCTAGAGTTTGATAAAACAGCATGGGAATAAACATTCAAATTCGATTGTCAATTTCTCGATTAAGCGTTACCCCTAAATTTTGACTTTGTTTGATAAGCTCGATGCTAAAGGTTATTCATGACTACGTGTTTAATGTTGGTTTTAAACTTAAATTTTAGTGCATAATCACTTCAAAGAAAAAAAAAACATAACGTGCACTAATTCCAAAGGTAGTTCGACCCTGTCCATTGGTATGCACATCGAAGGTAGTGTATTAGCACATCGGAGTAGACTTCCTCACTTCCGTCTGTGTCAAACCCCACCCGCACCAACCCCTCACCCAACAAAACCGAAAAAAGAGAGAGGGAGAGAAAAAATTGGAGTTGTAGGCAAAAAGAACACATCAATCATTGTCCAAAAAGATTTCTTTAGCAATCATAGTTTCCTCCCAAAAAAAAAAAAAAATCCTCTTTTTTCAGACAATAAAATCATCGAATCAAATGCAAAGGATTTCCACCTCATCCGGGGATTTGTTAATTATTGAGACAATTTAATCTTAGGGAGAAGCAAATCGTTGATGAGTTGGTCCAAATTCTGGAAACACGGTCCATCTGGTCCTGCTGCTGCTTCGGCTTTGCTCTTCCACTCCAAAGCCTTGTTCCTCATCTTTTCCCCTTTCTCACCATCCATCAGCTCTCTCACCAGCAACTCTACTTCGTCCCTCTTCACATCATTGTCGATCTCCATCCCCATTTCCCACTCGACACAGCTGTACCTGCAGTTGGTCTGCTGCTCCGCGAAAAAAGGCCAGCAGATCACCGGCACACCTCCACATACACTCTCCAAAGTCGAGTTCCATCCGCTGTGCGTCAAGAACCCTCCAATTGCAGGGTGTTTCAGAACTTCTTCTTGGGGGCACCAGCTTGCTAGCTTGCCTCTTTCTTTAGTTTCCGTCACGAATTCAGGTGGCAGCATGGCCGTGTCACCGGCGACTATATCAGGCCTTATGATCCACAGGAATGATTTCTTGCTGTTTGCAAGTCCCCAGGCGAACTCTGTAAGCTGGTGAGCCGTCATGACTGTGATGCTGCCAAAGTTCACATACACCACCGAGTTTGGCTCTTTGTCGTCCAGCCATTCGATGCAAACTGGGTCTTCTTTCCAGAGATTTGAACCGATTGATTTGAGTCCTTCGTCTTGAATTTGATTAAGCATTAGTTGTAATGGGCCGATGCTAAAGACGCGAGGATACATGGCGGAAAGAGCGTCGAAGGCATCGTGCTCCAACTCATAAAAGGAGTTCAAAACAACAGCCGTGCCTTTGGGAATATTGTTAACTTCGTGAACGACGAAGTTGAACA